AAAATCATTTAAAATTCCACTCATAATCTATCATAAACCATCTCCAGCATTTCTTTTTTCTTTTTGGATTCTTAAGGCAATACTACTTTATCCCGCAAGCTTCCTAAGGCCATGCAAAGAAAAAATAATCGCCCTGCACATAATGCTGCCTTCCATTAAAACGAGTCATGTGTAAGATTTTCATGCCAGCAAATTGCAAAATTCAATTTTCCACCACACACCTACATACATACATACAGTATCGATCATATCAATAGCATCGCCATTTCAAAGTGATATTATTTCCCACTTATGTTTATTTATTTATTTTTACCAATTTTCAATTAAAATCGGAGACGTGAACCGGATGAAAACTTTGGTCGGTTCGTCAAAGCGGTTTTTTAGTCTTTGAACCGGGGTTCCGGTTCGGTTCAACGGCTCGGAAATCAAAAAAATAAATAAATAACACGAAAGTTTAAGTGTCAAGTGTCAAGTACAACAACGCGCAAGGTTAAGTGTCTAGTGTCAAATGGGATGGGTTGCCTTCACATTTGTGGGTAATCTTATATATTGAAAATTGGTTAAAATGAACCTTTAAACCATTATAAAAAGTGGTTCGGTTTTCGCTTTGGATCAAAGATTTGGGGAAACTTTCGGTTCGGTTCAGTGAATTAATAGAAAGAAGCGGATGCCCGATTCAAAATCGGTTCACGTCCCTGAATTAATTCTCTAACAAAAGCCATGTAAACCCAGGTTTAAAACTTTGTAGAAAACTATAAAAAACTCAACAAAATTTCATCCAAATTTCAAACTTTTTTCTCAGAAGTGTTAGAATTTTTTTGAGTATAGAGTTTTATATTTATAGTCCATTCAATTTTTGTGTAATGAAGTGTTAGAATTTTTTGAGTATACAGTTGTATAGTCTATTCAATTTTAGTATAATAAGTGTCAAGTAGCTAATAGTATATTTGATTTTTTAAGTTTTTTTGGTCGCATTTGGTTCAATATAACGAATAAGCCCAATTTATTTTGATATGGAAGAAAACCGCAACACCTTCGCCAAAAAATTGTAAAAAATCAAAGGTAATTTTTAGCCACTTCAAACTTGCGCATTATTGATTGAGTTATAAAACTGTTTGCTCAAAAAAATTCTAACACTTCTGAAAAAAAAAAATTCGAAATTTTGATGAAAATTTTTTTATTTTGTTTTTTGATTTCTACAAAGTTTTAAATTTGGGTTAATGTGAGTTTTGTCAAAGAATGTATTTTAATTAAAACTTCTTAAAAATAATTGTCGCAAACAATACCATTTGAAAATGGGGGTGCTATAAATATGGCCGTAACTGTATATGTGCGTATGTATGCATAAATACTTTTAAATGTTTATATGTGTTTATATAAACTGTTAAATATGTATTGTTGTTTTTTATTGTGCTAGAAAATATTTATTTTTATACACGCTTTCATGTTATCAACACAATAATGAAAATTTTCCAAAGGTGCCCTTAACACATTGTTAACCACTCAAGTGTGAAAACTTTGGAAACTAAAAAGAACTGGTGCTTAAAAAATTTGTTCCACAAAGAAGAGGTAAATATGTACATGCGTGTGTATTGCTGCGTGATTTAATTCAATAAATAAAAATTGTCAAATTACATGTGTTCTACATTCGAAGGCCTTAAGAATTATACTTTTAACTTAGGCAAAGAAAGGGCTTGTAAAATATTTTAATTGTTGTAGAATAGATCCAAAATAAATGTTATTAAACGTGCTTTAATAGGTGAATACTATTACTTACCTTATGGCACTTTCTTTTCTACAAAAAAGCTTGCCTTTCCATTGACCTCTCCTTAGTATCTGTACGTAGAGGGCACTGCCATTAGAAATTTTGATCGAAGGCCAGGTCAGTGAAAAATGCCTCGACCAGTTTGTAAATGTTGTTTGGGTCGAATGCAGGCTTATTTGTAAATACATATAACCTTGATCCAACAACAGTCAAACAATTTTTCGCTGACCTGGCCTTCGATCGGCAATAATTTGACCTTTAATGTAGAACTCTTTCGGGATCATTTTCGACATTCTCTAACTTCTAATAACGCTCCATTCAATTCCAAACTCAACTTTTAATATCAGTATATGTACCTACATACATACATATCGCCCCTTTACGCGAAATTATTGTATGTAGCAGAAACATAATTTTACAGGAGAGCTTTTTTCTAGTTTTTCAAAATTTTACAATTTTTATATTTTTTTTTTTGTACTACGTACAAAATACTTTTGTATGGCACATACGATTATTTCGCCCACAAGATAAAATATATATACAGTAAATTTTTTCCGTAATTATAGGGGCTTCAGCTACAATATTTTACCAACTGATGCTTTGTGGGGTGCAGAAAAAATTTGCATCAAAAAGTCAATAACGAAAAAATGTCACACACGATAATTTCGCGCAAAGGGGTCGATATAATGCGGGTTGTTTACAGGCCAGGGCTTCTAATTTCTCCTTTCTAGAATTTAGAAAAATTACACAAATTGTCATCTAAATTTTGAATTTATTAGTCCGAATTTTTAGAAAAATTCTGGGTATACAGGTACATCGGTTATGTAATTCTAGTAAAATAACTGAAAGTTTTCGCGTTCATTTTTAATAATTATTTTTTTTTTTTGTTGGTGGCTGCACATTTTTGCACATTTTACTATGCTAAAAGTGAATTTCTTGTAAAATAAATTGCGCAAGACCATTTACCATCAAAATTAAAAAAATAAAGCTGGTTTTTATAGATTGCACTTTTTACATGAAAAACAAAAATATCAAAAGTTACCGGCAAAAATAAAAATCGTTAAAAATCAACGCAATTTAAAACTTGCAATTTTGTTTACTAGAATTACCTTCATATTCAGAATTTTTCTAAAAATTCAGACCAACAAGTATAAAATTTAGATGAAAATTTGTTTAATTTTTTTAAATTCTGTATGAAGTTTGAAAGTTTGACTTTGGTCGTTTTAGTTAAAGCATATCCCATATTTTATAAAAAAAAAAAACAACAAAAAATTTGAGCTTGAAAAACATTGCAAATATTTAACAAATATCACCATGCATTCACTATTGATCGCCAGTGTATGTGTAAAAGAAAAAATATTCAAGTACCATTAAAGCAGCTGATAAATTTAAATCTATCTTTTATAAATTGAGCAAACACAACACATCAAATAATCATGCCAATAAAAGGCTAATGCCGCAGATTGCATGCAACAAAATTAATTACTAGAAATGCGAGTAACCACTGGATTGACCGATTAAAGGGTACAATCAAATTAGACAAATCGCAGGTGAAAGCAAAATGAACTGAAAAGCGTTTAATGAGCTGAAAACATGCAAAAGTTAAACCGACAGAGATACCTATAGAGAAAAACAGAAAAACACAAATTCATAGCTCCACGCGAACACAATACTAACGATTGTGGCAATGTTCACTTGTTGAATATTTAATACAACTATAGTAGATGTGGTGATCTGATTACGTTAAGTGATATTTTGACCAGTTTTGATTATTTTTCTTTTGTTTATTTAATGTTTATACTTCTTTTATAAAAGTCTAAGGCATTACATAAATAGCACCTCATAAATCCACATTTCAAACTTCATACAAAAATTATAAAAATTTGACAAACTTTAGCATTTGAACATTTTATTCAGAATTCAGCTGACCACAAGGGATGTATTACACATAATTAAACGGAGTCTTTTTAGAATTGTAGAACACTAACTTTATTAGATATGCAGACAATTTTATGTTATTAGTGTTTGAATATAGTTTAGGGGATGTGGGCGACAACTCTGGCTGGGATGTAGCATATTGTGGAAGTCCAATATTCGAACACTTCTTCAAACAATGGCAGTCATATAGGTTTCCGGTTTGTTCGCTTAAACCAATGACTTGACGTTACCCAGAGAAAATAGCCTTCAGACATATCGGTGGCGAATCACTTGCCCCATTTCGAGAAATAATGCTTTCACCAAATGAAGAAATCATTAATCAATAAGTCAATTGTTTGATGCGCTGAATGGCACGTGGCACTGTCCTGTTTAAAAAATATGTAGACATATTATGTCTTCAGTTAACTTTCCATTCAATCGGACACGAAATAATCGACAATCGCAGTTCTATACTGCTCGGTTATGATGGTAATGTTCTCACCGTTCCCAACGAATCCTATGCCCCTTAAATCCCGTCAAACAAAAGACATATCTAAGCTTTATGTGCCGGTGTAAAGTCTTAGCAAAAGATCCACTGTTCTCCATTAAAGAGGGTGAGCGGTATTGGGAAGGTCTGTAAACATTTTTCGGGCGGTGCGGGACCAAAATACTTTCCCGACACGAACAGCAAAGCAAAACAAAATAATCGGAAGATGTCAGATCTTTCATTATGTTTTTTTATTATTTAAAATTTATTTGAAAGAAATGTGAATTTTTTCTTAGTAATAGATTTCGGGATCCGCTGTACAATTTTGAAAAACATCGGGATGGGCCGGTCCTGGACTTAAAAATTTAAATTCGAGATGGTCGGGATCAGAACTAAATATTTAGTACCGTAACCATCTCTAATATGCACATATGTTTTGTTATTCATCAATATATTTCGAGTTAACAATAGTCGATAACGTTTGCAGCACTCGTCAAATTTGCAACCTCTTTTTATTTTGCATCGACGTAACCAGCTTCCAAATTTGTTATTTTTGTTGCGTTCGAAAGGAAAAGGGCCAAAATCTTTAAATATCGTAAAAATTTTGTTAAACTGCCTAGTTTTTATTGAAAAATATAAATTTGTAGTTTCGGTTTACATTTTAAGCACAAAATCGTTTGCATGTCTTCTTGTCTTAACCTAAGCACGTATGTACTACATCCACTGACACGAAAATCGATTAAGCCACCCATTACTAGCCTCTAAATTTTAATCATAAATTGTAACTCCTTTCTAATCACCGTCTTCTTCATTTTCTCTTCCTTCTCGCAGGACATCCGATTCCAGCCAGCAATTGACAACATCGGCAGTGCCGCCAGCAACGACACAAAATCAATTAAAGTCCATAACAGCGAGCAGCGGCGGGGCATCAACAGCAGGCGTAAGTGCAGGGACAGCATGCAACAGCACGAACAACAACAACAACAATAATAATAATACCAACAACAATAACAACTGTAATAGCAGTAATAATGCCAGTAATCGACGTCTGCCATTCTGTGGTTTAGATTCCATTAAAGGAAGTGACAGCAATGGACATGGCGATGGTTGCGGTGGCTTGAGTGGTGGTGCCACCAATTTATGTTTCGATTTGCAAGGTGGCTGTACAAGCAGCAGTGTCGCTGCTGGCTTAGGGACGGTAAATGCTGTTGCTGGACTCGGTCACTTGGATGCTGGTGGCGGCGGTATTGGCGCTGGTCAACACGATAACATATCAGAGCAATTTCATTCGTTGGATGCGGCAGATAGCAGCTGTTGCGGTGATGGGCAATTCGAGGATGATATGCAAGCTTTGCTGCCGAAATGCAAGCGACTCTCGGGAGATGAACTCAGTCAGGTGAGTTGTATGTATGTGAAGGGAATAGCGTATTTAAGAAGGAGGATTGTGCGAATGTTAAGCGATATATGTGTGTATATTAGGGTGGTCCTTAAAAAATTAAATTAAGGATTTTTTACAGTCTCACGCCCTCAATCGGTAATACCACGGTCACAGATATCGCATATAAATTTTGGTTCCGATTGGAGACGGTTAAGGCGTGTCGCACAGGAGACAAAAAACAGACTCCTCTATAGAGACTCAAACAATTAAAATTATATTTTCATAGCTAATACCCAAAATCGAAGATATCACATATAAATTTTGGTCCCGATTGGAGTCGGTTATGACGTCTTCATAGGGTGTTCTGAACCTTGACACCTGTGTGACCCGCCTTAACCGTCTCCAATCGGGACCAAAATTTATATGTGATATCTTCGATTAAATCTCATGTAAAAATTTGTTTCCTACATTTAAAGTCCCCCCTAATGTGCATACATATGAGATACAAACCTACGTGCTAAGTATGTTGCTTAAAGTTGAGAGGCTTCCGAGTGGTATTACTAACTATTTGAACGTCATTTGTAACATAATTTTAGGCTGGAAAATAAAATTCGTCCTAATATCTTTTGCGTCTAAGTTTCGCTTCTTTTTCTTTTCGCACTATAAAATGTTTCTACTTAAATTTTAAGTTACTTCCAAATTTTCATCTTCGCCTCTGTCCGTGCTTTCGTTAAGCTTAATATTGAATTTAAATGCATTTACCTTTAGCTGATTGTGTTGCATTAAATGCAAATGCGCTGAGCTCAAAATCTGTTTGTGCCACAAAATGGCTTATTTGCCCGACAGGACATCAGAGCGATATCCTTTTGCTGTATGCAAATTTCGAAGCAAATACGCTTTCCTCTACTTAAGCAGCTCACTTTCTTTCTCTAGCTACATACTTAAGTATATTTACGATGCGCCGCTTACAATTCAAGTTTTTGATTGCGCATTTCATTTACACAACCCCACGCCCCATGTCCTTTCTTACATGCCAATCGTTGCTCGCATGAAAGGTATGCCGGAAAATCTATTTTTTCCACATTTTTCTTCGATTCACTTGCTACTTAGCATAGCATTTAAATAAACTGCTGTTATACCCAATTTTCCCGTTTGGGGTGGCTATCCTGCAAAGGACGCTCGCTTTTTGCTGTTGTCCATTCAACAGACCACTCGCCACCTGGGACTCACTTCGTCATTGAACTGTGCTTTGCTGTGATTGCTAGTTTTGATTTCCGTACATTTGTCTCTTCTTATTTTTGCAAATCTCTGCTTCAGTGATTTTAAATTCTGGGAAAAATGAAGTGCACTAAGGATATAGCGCATAGTTGCCCGAACAACTTTATTAATAATTCATTACTTTTGTCGGCATTGATTTGCAAGCGTATACTGCATAATTTTTAGAATTGAAAAAGGACATACATATGTATACACAAATAAATCGATTTCAATTTGACTCCATCTGCCTTCCTCTACATCCTTTTTCCTCCCTTTTACTGCGCATCCCAGTGGGATTTATCTTCAAATCACCATTTCGTAGGATTTCAATCAATTTCATACCGAACTCAGCTGCTACCTTGAAAAAATTATCAGCAATCCAAATACCCAACTGTATTTATAAACAATTGTGCCACAAGCCAATAAATTTATGGTTTTCATTTTCTAGCAATCACCCATCCCAGCCTAAAGCGTCCTCCATACATATGCTCATAAGAATCTCTTTGTTTCAATAAACAAATATCGCAGCAATTTTTAGCTCGCCACCCTCTTCATATCTTCTCTATTTGCCATGGCTTATGAGCAATTACACTAAGCAAATATATTAAAGATAAGCCACCATATTTATGTTTGTTTGACTGTATATTTTTTAGGCTAACACACTGATATGCTTGTCTTTACAAACAAAACATTTACATATATACAAACTCCACAATGATGCTTGCAATGAATCTGTGTAAATAGAAAATTTCAAAGTCGTTGTTGTCTTTAACCGGCAGCCATAAATCTTCTGCTGGTGCTAAGGTAAATGTAAATACTGCCAATATTAAGCGCTTTAAAGCTTCAGGCGAATAGGTAAATAAATGCAGCTGTGTACCGCTAAGTGAGGTACACATACACACTTGATTAGAGACTTATTTAGGAAGCACCAAAAATAATAGTAGTAAATTAGTTATTTGAATGGATGCAACAGAAGCACGGTACACCCCGACCTAGAAGCCGTTTTGTATCCCGCCGATAAGTTCCTTGCCCTGACGGCCCGAGATACTATCAGCCTCCCTAATAAATGCTAATAAATGTTTGGTAGATGAAGTATTGCAGCCTTAGTCTGGCCACAACCCGACACTCACAGATAATTTGCTCCGACTTCTCCTCATCTTCAAGACAAAGATGGCAATCCGTCTCAGCGGTTAGGACGATCTGATGCATACGAGAGCGCTGTTGGTTATGATCGATTTGGTAACCAGTAAGCAACTTGATTTTGGCTATATTCAAAAGATGCTCCCTACTTAATTCCAGTACTTGCTGCCTTCTGAGTTTACCCGCGCTTCGATTACGAGTCTTGAGTTGAACCAACTGAGTTCGCAAAATGGTTCTGCTCCCACAAAGACAGACAATAGGCTGTTTTAGCCATTTCGTCGGCGACCTCATTACCTTCAATGTCGCAGTGTCCTGGTGCCCAATATAGTACATAGTGTTCCTTGCAGCCAAGGGTTGCTGCACTCTTTGACGAGCCTAGAGGGATTTGTTCTAATGGATAGGGCCCTTAGGACCGCCTGGACGTTGGAAAAGATAGCAAGGTTCAGTCTGTCACAAGCCATATGTCCTTTGCAATAGATAGTTTGAATTTTCGTCTAAAGCAGATTTATTTTAGCATTGAATCTGTTAGGAGAAATCGCCTGGTATTTTTTGCAAAATAACTTTATGTTGTGTATTCTTATAAAGAGTAAGAAGGAGCGACTCAAAAGCTGTAAAGCTCCCGTTGATCCTGTAACCGAGAGTGGATTTGATTACAGTTGAGTTGAGTGACAGTTTCTCCTTTTTAGCCACCAGACTATGGAGGCATAAGTTACAATCGGAAGAACTATAGTACGATAGAGCCACTCTATCAGTTTAGAGTTCAGATCTCACGTTCACATGAAAGTTTTCGACAGGCGTACAACGTCCGGGTAGCTTAACAAGGGTTTTGTATTGATAGCGGTTCCAACTTAGTCTCGTATCGAAGGTAAATCCAAGGAATTGGACTTGGTTGGAGTATTCCAAAAAATTATTATTCAATACTTATGGATAAAAAGACGCAGAAGAAATGAAATTTAAAGAAATTAAATTGAATCTGTTAGGCAAAACTACTTTAAGTACTACATTGACGAGGTCAGTGTTTGAGTTATTTATGTCTGGATCTCGTCCATGACAGAAGCCCACTGGCCTGCGACAGTAAGCTCCTCTTCCAGCAAGTGTCTGTACCGATGCTCCATGCGATATCAGCCGAGCAAGAATTGATTTTTGAGAATCAAATTATGCTCACGACATCTGAAGGCATACCTTTGCTGTCCGGAGTTCGGTGTTTCAACAAGTAGGCTTCGTCCGCTGCGTCCAACGAATTTCCTTGTATCTTGCCAAGAAATTTTCTTTGTATCTGTCAAAGGTAAACTCTACAATTTTCGAGATACTCATCGTCGCATCTATTCGAGTACCCTCGATGTGGATGTCTAATTGCAGCTTGACTTCCTTAGCTCAGTTGGTATAAAAAGGGTTGGCGTTTATTAGAGAGTAATGATCTGTGCAGTGTAGAAACTATTAAGATCACCGAGATATCCATTTACTTCTGAGCACAGGTAATCAATGCTCTAATAGGTGGCCAATATCGAGCAACCGACAGCCTAGGACATCAAAGAAGCCCCTCTTCGGTGAGTGAGGAGCTACCAGATCTAAACCTGTTTATCGGGGAGCCCACAAATCTAGAAGCGCCGAGGTAGGTGCTGTCACCACAGTTTCCTGAACTTTTCACACGTAGGCTTCGTTTCTGTCTTGTTTGGTTGGGTTTAAAGTGGTATCGTGCATTCATCTTACCAATTTGGATATATTACCTCATTTCACTCCACCCTGCGAGCAGCTTTTCGTAGCTTGGAATCTGATTTTAGAGTATTGGTATTGCATTTAGGTACGCTTGCTGTCCGGCGTCAAGTGATAAGGTCAATTCCTCTGCGCCGGGCACAGTAAAGCCGCCCACTATGTAAAGTAAGCGGCCTACCGACCTATCTTTACTCTCCATAGGCTCACAAACTTTCTCAGTGAGATCCCGAATAGCATAGATGATAGATCTTCTTGGAAGATAGACATATATTCTCTGTGAAAACAGTTTTCTGTAATAAAACTATCTCTGATATGCCTGTCTACAATTCCCGCCATGGTGTTTAGTATAATGGACGTAAAACTGATGTGTCGGTATACTTTTGGTATGAATTTTCAGTGTCCTGCAAGAATGCTAGTCCAGTTGTACGCCACTCCTTTGAAGAAAGATAACATAGAAATTTGAACGTCTCCAGGCTGTGCCCATCCAGGAATTACTTGAACTGCTACTCTTTGACATGTATCGCATAATTCTATCTTGGTTTATAAGTACTGGCTCTGCTCAAATTTTTTCAATTTTATTCTGGTACAAAGGCTGTATTCAACATATCAAACGTACATATCTCTTCCAAAGTCTGTTTCTAACTTTTTTCAGACTGGGTAGAGTGAAGTTATTTGTAGTAACGCCCTTTTTTCAATTTTCACAAATGCACATAGAGTAAGAGCAAAAACAACAAATACAACAACAGCATAAAGTAAAGTCACAGTACTGTGTTGATTATAGTGAACGACATAAAAGATGTGTACACAGAGGTGTCTCACGTGTACATTGTGTGATTTATAGTCTGCTTGTAGGCGCTTTGCAATTTTAGGTGATGCCTTTAAAGTAACTTCCACGCAAAAGGTGTTTT